AAAAAAAAAAAAAAAAAAAACAAAAAACCCAACATGCTGGGTGTGGTGGCACACGCTTGTTATCCCAGCACTTGGAAGGCTGAGGCAGGGAGATAGCTTCAAATTCGAGGCCTGCCTGTGCTACTTAGTGAGTTCCAGGCCAGCCTGCACTACATAGCAAGACCCTGTCTCAAAGCAAACCAACAGCAAGAAAACCACCTTTAATTCATTTTAAGCAGTTTTCTTTACTTCATTAAGTTATGTAATGGCTATTTTAAGTCCTTGTTTGATAACTCTAGTATCTGTTTACTTTAGGGGCTTTTTTTTTTCTTTTTTTTTTGCACCAGGATTGAACTTGGAACCACTGAGCTAAATCCCTGGCCCTGTTTGCTTTTTTCTTTTTTTTAATTGCCTTTTTCTTTGAGAATGAACCACATTTTTCTCTTTCATGAAAAAGATTAGGGGCTGGGCCAGGGATTTAGCTTGGTGCCACCACGTGCTTTGCAAAGCTCAAGGTCCTGTGTTCAATCCCTGGTACCACAAAAAATAAAATTAGGGGCTGGGATTTAGTTCAGTGATGCTGCCACCTGCCTGACAAACACAAGATCCAGAGTTCAATCCACACTACTAAAAGAAAAAACAAAATTTAGAATTGCATGTACTGTTGTAGACACTATGGACTATTATACTCCTGTAGTAAGTGTTGATCTTAGTTGTAGTAGGCTGTTAACTTGTGTTACTCACCTGAAAGTTCTGTTTTATCTGAGGTGAGTCGCAGCACTGATTTTTGTCCTTTTTAGCTTTTTGAAAAATTAATTTACTATAGAAATACTTAAATTTTTAAATAAAAAGATAGAAAAAAAAGTATGAGAAATCTCAGGAACCTGTTGCCCTACTTCAACTATTATTAACATATAGCCAGTATAGTTGTCATTTGTGATCCCCCCCCCTTTTCTCCTCCTTGCCTCTTACATGTAGAACAAATCTCAGGTGTTACATACATCACATTACTCAAAAATGAAGGAGTGTGCCAGGGGTTTAGCAAGTGCAAGGTCTCGAATTTGATTGTGGTACCAAAAATAAAATAAAATGAGGGAAGAAATCTTTTAGGTCATTTATATTTGCCTTTTTAAAAACCTTTTACTCTAGGGCTGGGGATTTAACTCAGTGGTGCTGCCGGTGCCTTGCAAGTATAAGGTCTAGAGTTTGATCCCTGGTCCCCCCACCAAAAAAAAACAAAAAACTTTTTATTATGGGGTCAGGGATTTAGGTCAGTGTTGCTGCTGCCTGCCTTGCAAGTGTGGGGTCCTGAGTTCGATCCGCAGTGCCAAAAAAAACCCCTTTAATTATGGACATTTAGAAGCATTTTAAAAGTAGAGAGAATAGAATAATAAACCCAGTGTATCCATCATCTAGCTCCAGTAATTGTCTGTATTTGCCCAATTTTTTATCATCCTATACCACCATCCCTATCAAATTATTTTGAAATAAATCTCTGGTATTTTATTGTTTCATCTTTTAAAATGCCATTATCTGAAAGATAAGAACTTTAAATAAAATTACCACAGTTCCATATCAAAGCTGGAAAATTGAACCAGTTATCTAGGGCAATATTTATATTAGACTTTTTTCCATATTGTTTGAATTCAGAGCCCAGTATATTGCTATTGCTTGAATAGTCATTTAATGTGTAAATTCCTACTTTAATTAATACTTTTTCCAGTACTTTTATAGTCTGGATTTTGCTGCATCCATGATAATATGTAAATGTTCTTTTGCTTCCTCTAAATTGATAGTAAAATCTACAGGTTTGATCAGATTCCCTTTTTATTGCTTTTTGGCAAGACTGAGGTGATAATATGTATTTTCAAGATATTACTTACTCTCTGATAATCCAGTTGTCTTTGAAGCCTAAAGTAGTTATTCCCTTATTAAATTTTCATTATATTGGGATTTTATATATTATCTTCTGTTACTTTTTTTAAAATCCAAAACTTTTCATTCAGTAATTAGCAGTTAAGTATCATTATTAAGAAGCTATTTTTTTTTTCTTTTTAAGCCAGAAGAAGAAAAAAATAAGTTTTGGTAAATTTGTTGCTGGTTTCAGGATGCAATGTGTTTATTGTATTTAGTGAAAAATTAATTTTCTACTGAACACACTGTAGCTGCCAGTGGTTACCACTTCTTAGCCATGGATTGCATGGAGTGATATGCCCATACATATTCAACATAAGTTCTGTGGAAGCTAAAAGCCCTTAGTTTTGATATTTGCTAATTCCCAAGATGTAAATATTCTCACTGTGGTTAATTTTAAATTATGTAAGTGATGACACTAAATACAGAGGCAGGAAAAGATAATGTACCATTGGCTTTGCCTCGTAATACTAATTGTTTCTATTACTGCTGTAGCAATTAAAGCATCTGCCGTGTGTTAGTTTCAGTAAAGTACCGACTGTTTTACTTAAAATACATTTTTCATAACCTTAAAAAGTTGTCTCTATTTTGCAAATTAGGTGTAGAGATTTAAATAACTGATGGAAGTAACTGAACAGCTCCACGTGTAAAATTTAGATTAATTGCTTATTTCTTATTTTTTGCTTTATTCTTAGGGGAAATACATAATGTTTAAGAAATGATATTATATTAACCCAGAAAGTTTGTATCTTTTAAAAAGATATATTACATGCATGTAGTATTCATATTCTGTCTTCCTCCCCACCCTCTAATAATTAAGGAGGAGAAACCTCAAGCCATGCAGCTCCCTCTCAGGAGCCTAGTGAATGTTCAAATCAGAGACCTGCAGAAGACCTCACCGTCAGAGTGGAAAGGTTTGCTCTTATTTTTTCAAGTAGCATTTTTTAAAAATTAAAGGCAGTGGTTTTCTTTTATGCTAAAATTACACAAATGAACTTTCACAATTCTGGGTTGAAATTTTTGTTTGCCTTTTGTTTATATTTATAGAAATTACATTCTAGAGATAAAACTTTTCTGTGTCTTTGAAGTTATCAGTCAGCTGTAGTTCTGATTATAGTCTTCTATGCTGTGCCTCTTATGTTATATGAGCTAATGTTTAATTGGTAAACAGCAATATTTTTAATCCTGGCTTAAAAACACTTAATGTTATATAGATAAGTCTTAGAGGAGGCTAAATATATAGATCAGAGTAGGATATAGGTAGAGTGCCTAACATGCATAAGCCCCTGGGTTCTACCTCCATTACTGCAAAAAAGGAAAAAAATAAATCCTTAGAGGTACTTGGTATTTTCTTATTCATAGAGATATTTTGGGGAAGCAGAATTCAAAGTCAATGATGTTATGAGATTTTGGAGTCAGTAAATACCTTCATTTTAGCAAAACGTAGAATGTGGTTGTTACTGTTGTTGCAGGGCTGGGACTTTGAGGTCAAGAACAACTCTCACATTTGTAAGTAAAACAGTGTAAGAGCTAGAACAGTATCAGGGATCCAAATTCTCAGTGGCTCATTCTGTGTTGTTTCTGTCTTAAAAGTCTGACTTGTATTACTTTGGGATGAACTGGAAATAAAAAAATCTGAAAAAGGGTTTGAAAAGCAGAGGGGGAAAACAGAATTAGTAGCCCTTTATTGTGAGGTGGGTCAGGTGTTGTGTTCTCATATTGGAAAGGGGGAGTTCCTGTTGTTACTGTTTGCTCAGAAAATGTCAGCTGCTATCAGCCTGAATGGTTCTGGAAATACATCATTTTAAATTAGGAAATGGTTTTTATATATAGACATTCTGGTGTTAATGTATTTGTTATATTTGATATAATGAAACAAAGACATAGGACATATACCAAAATACTTATTTTGTTATCTGTGGAAAGACAGTTATGGATTTTTTTTTTCTTCTGTAACTCTCTTCTGGAGTTGCCAAATTTCCTTCTTTGAGGGTTATTACTTTGTAGTTAGTGTATCAGGACACAGTATGTCTACTGCTATTTGAGAGTCCTTAAACCAAAGAAAAAAATTTTTTTGTTTTGTTTTGTTTTTTTGAGACAGGGTCTCACTATGTAGTTGAGACTGACCTGGAACTCACTATGTAGTCCAGGCTGGTCTCGAACTCACAGCGATCCTCCTGCCTCAGCCTCATGAGTGCTGGGATTACAGGCATGCACCACCATGTCCAGCAGAAAAAAAAATTTAAAAATAAATTTTATTGTACGTTATTCTATTCTCTTCCCCCAACCCCTTCCCATCCCTATGTACAGAAGCTGTTTCCATTTTCCCATTCTATTTTCGCTTTTTTTCTTGTCCTTCCTTTCTTCCTCCTTCCTCCCTTGTTCACCTTCCCATTTGAACATTTTCTTCCCATTTTCCAACATTCATTATACATCTCAGTCTTTATTTCCACATTCAGTTTCTCACACCAGAGAAACAATGCAGTATTTAAGCATGTGTGATTTATTTCATTTAAGAGTATGATCTCAAGGTCCATCCATTTAGCTACAAATGTTTGAAGCTGAACCTTCTTTATGGCAGAGTAGTATTTCAGTGAATAAAAAACCCCGCATCTTCCTTATCTACTCAGTTGATGGGCATGTGAGCTATTTCCTAGAATTAACTATTACAAATTATGCTGCTATAAACATGGGCGCATATATATTATTTTGGAATGATGCCAAGAAGAGGTATATATAGTTGGCTCAAATGCCGATTTTTGCATTGCATTCTTTAATTTGGGCGAGACTGATTTTTTGAGCTCTTTATATATTCTAGATAATAGTCCTTTATTTGAATAACTGGTAAACATTTTTCCTATGCTGTGGGTAGTCTCTTCACTCTTTTAGTTGTTTCTCTTGCTGTGCAAAAGCTTTTTCATAAGATGAGGTTCCATTTGTTGATTATAGTATTTCCTGTGCGGCCTGTTTTTTTTGTTGTTGTTTGTTTGTTTGTTTTTCATAAATTCTTTGCATACTGTCCTCAAGCATTGTACCTATTCTCTCTTCCTGCAGATTTGGCATTTCAGTTTTAACATTTAGGTCTTTGAGCCATTTAGATTTTGGGTTAGTGCGTGGTGAAAGATATGGTTCTAGTTTCAATCTTAAGCATGTGGAAAGCCAGTTTTTCCACTACCATTTATTAAAGAGGCTATCTTTCTTCCAGTGATGGTGTTGGCTCCTTTGTCAAAGATAAGGTGGTTGAGTATGGCTGGAGTTGTTTCTGCATCCTCTTCTGTTCTATTGATCCTCAGGTCTGTTCTTTAACCAGTACCAGATTATTTTTATCACCGTAGCTTTGTAGTTTAATTTAAAGCCAGGGATTATGATACCTGCTGTTTTGCCTTTGTTGCCCAGAATTATCTTTGCCATTCTAAGTCTCTTGTAGTTCCGAATGAATTTCAGGATAGTTTTTTTCTAATTCTGAGATAGGCTGTTGGGATTTTGATTGGGATTGTATTGAATCTGTATAACAATTTTGGAAATATGGCCATTTCGACTATATTGGTTCTTCCTATCCAAGAACAAGGGATATCTTTCCATTTTTTTGTTTTAATATATATACATATACATACACATATATATATATATATATATCCTCTTAGGGCTGGGGATTTAGCTTAGTGGTTCCACCGCCTGCCTTGCAAGCGCAAAGACCTGAGTTCCATCCCCGGTACCAAAAAAAACAAACAAATACATATCCTCTTCAGTCTCCTTTTTCAGAGTAGAGATAGTTTTCAGTGTAGAGCTGTTTTACTTCCTTAGTTATATTGATTCCTCAGGTTTTTTATTCTATTGTGAAAAGGATTGTTTCTTTAATTTCTCCATAAGTCTTTTATTTGTGTACAGGAGGGCTATTAAATTTTGAGTGTTGACTTTGTATACAGCTATATCACTGAATATCAGCCAAAGAAAATTTTAAGATGCTCTTAAAGATATAGACATAAGTAATTCTTAAAAAGTAAATTCTGTTAAAATCACTGTTATGGCTTGTGTTTAAATGTCGTCCCAAAGACTCATGTGATCGTAAGCGGGGCTTTTTCAGATGTGGCTGGATCTAGAGTATGTGATGCAGGAATTGATTCATGGTGCAGTGCTAGGATCAAGTGCACTAGCATTAAGGATGTGAGTACTACCTGCCCTAAGTAGCCTGTGTAAGACCTAAGGGATAGAAAGAGCTGTGATTATCCTCTGTTTGCTTTGCTACCTTCTGCCCACCGTGAACTGTTTTTCCTCTGCAATGTCTCTCTACCATGCCACCTTGCCTTGGAGCCAGCCAACTATGGACTGAAACCTCTGCAAACTGTGAGCTAACTAAACCCTTCCTCCTTTAACTTTGGGTGTTGGATATTTTGTCTCAGTAATGAGGAAAGTAACTAAGACAGTCCTTCTTGAAGTATATGTAATCTTTGACTTTTAAAAAAAGGATACCAATTGAAATTGGATGATTGTTGACAAACTTGTTAATGAAACCGTTTTTATTGTGAAATTACTTTTTCATGGTGAGACAACCTTTGAAAAATCCAGATCCATATAGCCATGTAATTAAAATCTTACATAAGCACTTTAAATTCTTGCTGCTGAAATTAACTTATTAGATTCAACTAACCTGTACACTCTAGGTCTTAGTACTAAGTAATTCACAAGCTGAGATTCTGCTTTTTTTTCTTTTGAGTTCATACCCATTTAGAAATCTTGTTCCTTTTGTGGAATCTGATTTATTGACAATGGCAGTAACAGATAACAACCTATGTATTATTCCTATCAAATAGCCTCTTAGCTCATCACTTACACCCTAAAGGTTACCTAAAGGTTATCTTTACTATGCTTGTTTGGCTCTGTGAAGTTCTTATTCCTGTGTCTAGCTCATTCTGTGCTATCCTCTGCAGGGTTGTTAGACTCTGATTCAACTAGAGTACTACTGGTTTCCCTGCTTCAGAGAACTGAATTTCTTTTTCTCAGCCCAGAAAACTTGGACCCATCAATCTAAGTAATTTAGTGATAAAATCTGATGTTGAAAAATATATAATACCAGCTGGTTGCACAGGACTCTAATCCTGCCTACTGCTTAGAAGGCTAAGGCAGAAAAATTGCATGTTTAAAGCCAGCTTGGGCAGCTTGGTGAGACCCTGTCCCCAAAAGTCAAAACAAAACAGAGGACTGGCTATGTACCTCAACACCCCCTTGGTTCACTCTCTATTACCAGAAAAAAGCAAGCAAACAAGCTGGCTGGCTAGCTAGCTAGCTAGCTCTATAAGGCTAAATTCATACATTTTCCTCTGATCTTGATGAATTTTTTTAATAAAAAGATTTCCAAATTTTTATTTCTGGAATTGTACACCAGATAGTAAAAAAAAAATACGGAACAGTTAATGAATTTGCATGTTATCCTTGTGCAGAGGCCATGCTTAATCCCTGTATCATTCCAGTTTTAGTACACGTGTTTCTGAAGGGAACACTCTTGATGATTTGTTTGTTTGTTTGGTACCAGGGGTTGAACTTGGGTCCTTGAGCTTGTGAGGCAGGCCCCGGAACCACTGAGCTAAATCCCCAGCCCTCTTGATACTTTAAAACATACTTCAGACAGGTTAAAAACTCAGCCTTGCCATGCATGGTGGCACACATAAGACCCCTAAGCCTTTAGTAGAATGGCTTAGTAAGCATAAGATTCAAACTTTCAGAATAAATCTGAGTCTGAGAGCCGGGTGTGGTGGTGCACACCTGTAATCCCAGCACTTGGGAGGCTGAGGCAGGAGGATCACTGTGAGTTCGAGACCAGCCTGGGCTACATAGTGAGCTCCAGGTCAGTCTCAACTACATAGTGAGAACAAACAAACAAACAAACAAACAAAAACAGTCTGAGAGCTATTTCCAGAGACCATGTTTTCGGAAAATTAATTATTTCACGCTAAATCATGGGGCTTTTTTTTTCACATCAAGTTTCAAAGAAAACTAATTTTATTGGGGGAAATGTTAACTAAGACAAGTTGATGTCAGTTAGCTTAGAAAATCAGCCCTTAAAATTTTAACCTTTTAAAGTCAAGTGATTTTTTTTCAAAAATCAAATTAGTGATCTGATTATGAGCTTTTTTTCTTTTCTTTCCATTTTAGATATACATAATATCATAGGGAATTTGTACCTCCATCTGATATGTCTTGCTTCTTTTTTTTCCCCATCCCCCTTCAACCTCTCTTCCCATTCTTATTTACAAAAGCTTTGTTGTTTCCATTTTTTTCTATTTTCTTCCTTTGTCCCTTCCTTCCTTTCCTCCTCACCCCTTGCTTGTTCCTTTTCCCATTTGAACTTTTTTCCCATTTCACAATATCTGTTATACATTTTGGTCTTTATTTAAACTTTGTTTCTCACACCACATGTGTGTTTCTTACACAACATGTGTATCTGATTTATTTCACTTAAGAATATTGTGTCAAGGTGCACCTTTGGCTAGAAATGTCTCAGGCTTATCTTTCTTTATGCTGGAGTAGTACTTCTGTTGTGCCCAAGTCGCGAAGTCCCCAAAGACCACCAAGGAGTCATGTCCAATGCAATTGCAAGAGGAGTTCATTGCAAGCTTGAGCCTGGACTCTCGGGTGTCACCGTCACAGCGGCTTCAGACTGAGAGCCCAGATCCAACTTTGAACCAAGTTTATATAGGATTTTTCTGTTGGCTATTTTTAGCTTTCCCTTGTCATCAAGGGGCATCGGGAGGGCACATTGGAACATGACCTAATGCTTACATTTGCAAAATTATCATGGGGTGCTGGGAGGGGTGGAGATGCCCTAAAAGAGGAACTGCAATTGTCAAAGCACAGAGAAACTGCTGCATAGAATGGAAACTATTACATAGAATGGAATTTTTCACAAAGGTACTTTTATATTTACTCTATTCTGGGTAAGGGGGTTGGAGCCCACCGTGACCTGGAAACTTGGTCCTTACACTTCATTGTATTAAAAAAACACATCATCTTTATCCATTTGTTGGTTGATGGACATTTGGACTGTTTCCAAGATTTAGATATTATATATACTGTGTTGGAATAAACAAGGCTGTACATATATCACTGGTGTGTTGTTTATAACCCTTTTAGAAAGATATCAAGAAGGGGAATAGATGGGTCAAATAGAACCTCTAGTTTTAGTTTTTTGAGGAATCTCCACACTGATTCCACAGTGGTTGCACCAGTCTACACTCCCATGATCAGTGGAAAAGGGTTCCTTTTTCCCACTCTTGTTATTGGTTGATCTCTTGATAGCAGCCATTCTTTCTGAAATGAGATGGAATCTCAGCATTGTTTTAATTTGCATCTCTTGAATGATCAATGATGTTGAGTATTTCTTGGTATATTTATCTGCCATTTCTACTTCTTCATCTAAGTGTCTATTTATTTCAAATGCCCATTTTGGGGTTGTGTCTTTAAATTTGGGGAATTTGATTTTTAGAAGTTCTTTTTATATTCTAGATAGTAGTCATTTGTATGAGGAACAGCTGGTAAAAATTTCCCACACTATGGTTGTCTTTTCATTTTACTAGTTGTTTCTCTTGCTGTGTAAGAGCTTTTTATTTATTTTTTATTTTTTTAATTTTTTATTTATTTATTTTTTTTGGTACTGGGGATCAAACTCGGGTCTTTGCACTTGCAAGGCAAGTGGCGGAACTACTGAGTTAAATCCCCGGCTCAGCGCTTTTTAATAAGATGAGATTCCAGTTGATTCTTTGTGATACTTCCTTTGTGATCAGGGTTTTGTTCATAAAGTCCTTTCCTACACTAGTGTTTTCAAGAGTTCGACCTGCTATATCTTCCAGCAGATTTAGTGTTTCCGTTTTAAAATTTAGATCTTTGTGAAGGCCTGAGATTTAGCTCAGTAGTTCCGCCCACCTGCCTCATGAGCACAAGGACCTGAGTTTGATCTCCGGTACCACCCCACCCCCCACAAAAAAGAATTTAGATCTTTGTTCCATTTCAATTTTAATTCAGTGCATGGTGAAAGGTATGGGTCTAGTTTTTGTTTGTTTGTTTTGTTTTGTTTTGTTTTTGAGACAGTGTCTCACTGTGTAGTTCAGACTGCTCTGGAACTCACTGTGAAGCCCAGGCTGGTCATGAACTCTGCATGATCTTCCTGCCTCAGCCTCCGAGTGCTGAGATTACAGGCGTGTGCCACCACGCCTGGCGGTATGGGTCTAGTTTTAATCTTTAGCATGTGGAAAGCCAGTTTTCCCAGCACCGTTTATTAAAGAGGCATACTTTCTTCTGGTGAAGGTATTTGACTCCTCTGTCAAAGATGAGGTGGCTGAGTATGTTTGGAGTTGTTTCTGCATCTTCTAATCTGTTGAGCCTCAGGTTTCTTTTCTTGACCAGTATGATGCTGTTTTTAACACAGTAGCTTTGTAGTATAATTTCAAGTCAGGGATTGTGATGTGCATTGCCTTTGCTTTGTTGCCTAGGATTGTTTTGCTATTCTAGGCCTCTTACGGTTCCAAATGAATTTTGGGATTGTTTTCTCTAATTCTATGAATTTTTATCAGGATTGCATTAAATCTGTATAACAGTTTTGGAAATATGGTCATTTTCACTGTATTGGTTCTTCCTGCCCAAGAACAAGGGGTGTTTTTCTATTTTCTGATACCCTCTTTGATCTCCTTTTTCAGAGAATTGTAGTTTTCAGTGTAAAGGTCTTTTACTGCCTTTGTTAAATTATGCATATTTCATTTTTCTGGATGCTATTGTGAAAGGCATTGTTTCACTAATTTCAGTGAATTTATTGTTCATGTACAGGAATGCTATTGATTATGGTGTGTTGACTTTGTATCCAGCTACACTACTGAATTTGATTATTGAATATAGAAGTATTTTGCGTTGGGGTCTTCTATGAAGAGTATCATGTCATCTGCAAATAATGATAATTTAACTTCTTCCTTTCCAATCCTTACTCCCTTTATTTCTTTCTTGTCTAATTGCTCTGGCTAATGTTTTCAGAAGTAAATTGCATAATACTGGTGTTAGTGGACATTCTTGTCTCTTTCCTTATTTTAGTAGTTATTTTATTTTATTTGTACTGGGATCAAACTCAGGACCTTGTGCTTGGCAGGTGGCAGACAGTGGCACCACTGAGCTAAATCCCCAGCCCCTTTTCCTGATTTTAGAGTGGAAGTTTTCAGTTTTTGTCCATTTAGTATAATGTTGGCTGTTGGTTTGTCATAGATGGCTTTTATCGGATTGAAATCAAACCATCTATTCCAATTGTCTATAGGATTTGTATCATGACTCTGTTAATATAGTGTACTACATTTATTGATTTGCATGTATTGAGTCATCCTTGCATCCCTGGGATGAATCCCACTTGGTTGGTTGGTTGGTTTTTTTTTGTTTGTTTGTTTTTGGTACAGGGGATGGAACTCGGGTCCTTGCTGCTTGCAAGGCAGGCGGCAGAACCACTGAGCCACAACCCCAACCCTGTGAATATTTGTTTTACATAGTTGGGTGCACTGGTATTTTGTGCATATATGTTTATAATTGTTATTGCTTCCTCTTGGGTTGTTCCCTTTACAAGAATGTAGTAACCCCTTATCTTTCTTTGTTTGTTTTTTTTTTTGGCAGCGGGATCAAACTCGATTCCTTGCACTTTCTAGGTAGGTGGAGGAACCACTTTGAGCTAAATCCCCGGCTCTCCCTTGTCTTTCTTAATCAATCTTGAATATTACTCCTGTCAACAGGTTTTCTATGTCAGTTGTGCTATCTTCTGCATTTTCATCGACTCCATCAATCTTTCTTTTTTTTTAATAGAGTTTATTGGTACATTTTAGATATACAGTACAGTTACATTCATTATTGGGATCTTGTACCTCTACATGACAGGTCTTGGTTCTCATTTTTTTCCCCTTGTACCTGCCCTCCCTTCACCCCCTGACTCCATTAATCTTTTGTTAGTTCTTCTGTGCTTCATATAGCAGCTGTTGGATTGATTTTGTGGGGGGGGAGGTGGGTGGTCCCTTGTTACTTTTAAGAAATCTTTCTTTTCACAGTTGCTAACCACAATCCTGTCTTCTGGATCTGATATTCTCTTTTCACGTTGGCTTGTTCTACTGTGTATACGTTCAATGAAAATTTTTAAATCTCCTAATGTTTTTTTTTTTTTTTTTTTTTTGGTACCAGGGATCAAACTCGGGGCCTTGCACTTGCAAGGCAGTTGGCGAAACCACTGAGCTAAATCCCGGGCCTAATCTCCTGTATATCTGTTTGAATCTGCTTCATGGATTGCATTTCTTTCCTGTGCTGGGTATTGTATGGTTTCCATCATTTTTGTAAGCTCTGCTGGCTTTTTGGAGTTTTTTGTTTTTTGGTTTTTTTGGTTTTTTTTTTTCCCCTGTATCTCCTCTGGAGTCACTAAACATGTCTTTCATTATGGTCACCATCTTTGCAGTTATCTGAGAAATAATTTCTGATTTGAGTCTTTTTAGAG